CGCCACCTTTGGGGTTTTAAGGTTGACCTATAAACAACAGAATGAAAAAACAAATCATATGACGCTAATTACACAATAAAAATAAACCTTATGGGAAAGCGCTAGTGGCAAGGCTGACCGTAGAGTGTCACAAGTTTCTGAACCGTCTCTTTTTACAAACGTACTACCCAGGAGCCTTCGCGTACTACTCTCCCACCCAGTTCTCTGTTCCGTGTCGGCAAAGTATTAATTTATGTCAATACCGATTATCACAAATTACATTTTCTAACATATCTTTGTGATAAAAGACTAAAGCAATCAATACACTGCTTTCAATTATAGAGAAAAATAGCACAGATAGTGCGGGTGTTGAGTAAATAAATGATCGCTCTATTGACGGCGTGTTTGTCTTTTGCAATCCTTGTGCACGCGCTGAATTGCATCAGCAAAAGCGCGCGCGAAGACTGTGTTCGGCCACCTCCCTGGTATGATAGCTCTGTAATACTTGCAAAAGCCTAAAGTGTTACATGGCTCTATGGGTTCATGGTGCAACTACATGTATAATGTTGTTTTAATTTCTAAATAGTATCGATCTTTCTTCCTTAGATGGGGTGGATGTGAATGTCACTCCTGACAAGCGTCAGGTGTTTGTCCAGGAAGAAAAGGTCCTGCTGGCCACCATTAGAACCTCTTTGAAGAGAATGTATGACCCTAGCACGGCTTCATTTGATATCAATTACAAACCTCTAACGCAGATAAAACTATCCGATTCATTCCTGTCGAGAGACGTTGACAGTGTCAGTTCTCGTGAGATTGGGGAACTGCAGAATCATGAGGATTCGTGCACTGCAGTGAAGCAAGACAGAAAGGTTGTGGAGCCGGCGACTGTGTTGACATCAAGGTCCGACGTGCCTATCGAAAAAGGAAAGTTCCCTTCACTTAGCAGCTTTAAGAGGAAATTCTCGTCTCTTGATGAAGATCTGGCAAACAAAGCTAAGGAGCCTTGTAGTAAACAAGTAAAGCTTACCAGTATCTTTATTCGGGAAGAAGGAGTGGGAAGTTCTTCCTCGACAGTGGCGACTGGATCACTAGGAAAGCGTTCGTTTGCTACTTACGGCTTTGGAAAGAATGAAGACCAAAACGAAAAGTGTGAAAGTAGTGATATAGACGCTATTGAAATCAGGGAAAAAGTCGATAAGGGAAACTTCATTGTGGACCGTTCCATTCCAGAATTTGGTGACGAAGACTGCAGTGGACAGAATGCAAGTGATGACGATGTAAAAGTCATTGAAGTCAAAGAGAGAGCCAGTGAAAAATTCTTTGTAGATGAGAATTCCACCCAAAATTTTGAATCAAGTAGTGATGTTCGTTTGAAAGAAAGTCATCCTAAAAGAGAGGAGAGGGAAAACGTGCAGAGTGACTCAACTCGTTCGGAGACAAACCATCAGAAAAAGGTCAGCAGAGCTACGATCTATCAACGGAAAACAGGTATCGAGGAAGACTCATCTAGTGAATCCATACTTGTTGTTCCCAAACGTATCAAGTCTTCGAAATCGGATCGTGTTTTTAGAAACAGAAGAGAAGTTACAGTGAACTTTAGTATGGACCAACTGAAGAGGAAGCCAAAGACGCAGCAAAGAGAGAGCTCTGGGGCAGTTGAAGCTCGCTTGTTTAGAGCCAAGATTGCACCGGATAGCAACTCCAGCGCTGAAAACGAACTGAGAAAGAACATCAGCAAAGAGATGTTTCAAAGGATGGAAGTCTTAGGTCAGTTTAATTTGGGCTTCATTATCACAAAGCTGGATAATGATTTGTTTATAGTCGATCAACACGCTTCAGATGAGAAATTTAACTTCGAAGATCAACAGCGAAACACAACGATAAAGTCGCAGCGTCTCATTGCTCCGCAGAAACTTGAACTAACGGCTGCTAACGAAGCTATCCTCATGGACAATGTGGAGATATTCCGAAAGAATGGATTCGAATTTGAGATTGATCCAAACGCCGAAGCAATGAAAAAAATCAAACTGGTTTCCCTTCCCACGAGCAGGAACTGGACCTTTGGTGTGGAGGATATCGAAGAGTTGATTTTCATGTTGAGTGATTCCCCTGGTGTGATGTGCAGACCTTCTAGAGTGAGAAAAATGTTTGCGAGTCGAGCGTGTCGCATGTCAATCATGGTTGGAACGGCTTTAAATCATGCTCAGATGAAGAAAATTCTGTGTCACATGGGTGAGATTGAGCATCCCTGGAACTGTCCTCATGGTCGACCCACCATGAGACATCTGGTGAATCTTGGTATGCTGCCGTCATAAGATTTAAGTTGAAAACTGATTCGCCTGTTTTATGTCTTACCTGGTCGGAAGTCATGCTCAGATGAAAAAGATTCTGTTTCACGTGTGAGATTGAGCGTCCGTGAAATTGTCCTCACGGTCGACCCACCATGAGACATGTGGTGAATCTTGGCATGCTGCCATCATCAGATCTGAACTGAAAACTGACTCACCTGTTGCATATCTAACCTGGTCTGAAGAGCGTTTAGTCATGCTCTGGTGAAGAAGCTGTTCTTTTGTTGGCCCACCATGCATGAGACATCTCGTAATCTTCTGTATGCATAAGCTGTCATTATCATGTTTGGATTGAAAATTGCTGTTCGACCTGAAACTGTTTTAGGTTCATTATGTCCAGTATCTTTCCGATTCATAGTTGAGTTTATTTTTATTTTTCTGTATGACATGAAAATTATACGTTTTCTTTATTTCTAACCTTAATATATTATCGTAAAGAATAAAGACGTCAGACGTTAGTTTTCCAACTGTCAGTTTTCTTTTCGTTCAGACTTGGACGAAATACAGCCCATAGAAACAGAACTTTAACGGAAACGGGACTGTTCATTAGCAGAACTCCAAACCTTTCTTTAGTTCCTCAAAATGCAACCCACTCCTGCGTTGGTAAGGTTCTGCTTTTTTTTTTTTTTTTCATGGTGTGCACTATGGATTTGCGATTTTTCCGCTGGTCAGGATATTTTAAAGGGTACACTGCAAACGTGTTTCTCGCACTGTGAATCTTTTTTCTGCAGTTAAACTACACTCGGAAACTTCAAGACCAAGGGAAGGAGGAAGAATTTATAATGGCAATTCAGAAAAGATCTTTGGGCGTTTAGTTTCCTGGGTATCCCAGGAGAGTGTCGTGGAACCCGTTTCTCACTTTTGGGGGATGGGGTGGGCAGTAATTTTATTGCATATTCCTTTTCTGAGAAGATTACATGAATTACCACGAATAGTGAAGCCTGCGGTAGCAAGCATTCCCCTACGAGCCAAGAGTTTCTTGCCTGCTGGTCGCGGGAAATTTGGGGCGAGACAAAATAATGGCGCACGGCAGGCTTTTGGCCAGATGGGTGCACATGCGTCCTCTGGACGCCCACGTTTTACAGAAAATTGTTTTATTTTTCACATTTTGCTTTATAAATTGTTCATTTAAGCAGATCCCATAACACATTTTGGACGCCCACTTTTCAATCGTGGCTAAAAGTCTGGTGCGCGGCCTGAATGAGGTGAAAACTCTTTCGTTCGTACGGGAGCACTTTACGCGCGCTCGAATAGTTAGATATAAATTCTTCAAGGTGTTACAGCGTAGCTCAACAATGAACAATCAGTTGCTTTTTTTCCTGAAATGATGAGCTCGCCAATGTCTTATCAGCCAATCACCACTAAGAAGAAAAGTAGAATAAGCCAATAGCGTAGCACGTCTCGAGAGTATTGAAAACGTCGCGCAACTCACGCTACAACTCTGTGCTGCATCAAAATCAGACTAAAATTTTTGGGCACAATAACTTCAGCTCATATAAAATAAAATCTTACATTTATTGGTCAGATGTGATCACAAACAGCATGTCACAGGATTACATATACACGAGCTTTCAACTCGAAATCTATTTTACACAGCTCGATAAAATCGCATGAGCATTTAAAGGGTTCAAAGGTCTGCTCGTACTCCAAAGCCTGGTCCTTTTGGTGGTTCAGTCAGCGTCGTCAGGCCTCCGGCGGGCTCACAGGAAAATCGCCCACTCCTGGGAAAATGTACTACATCTTAGTATTGCAATGAAAAACGAAAACTTACAGAATAGAGGCACGCAACTTATGAACGAACAAACTATCGAACATACGAACACACACACAAAAAAAACGTTTGAAAAAACAAAGTAAATTTTAACCTGGGCCCTGCTTTTGGAGTTCTTCCAGCGATGAGGTCATCAAGAATTTCTTGTGTGTCCTCGGCGGAGAGATCCTCCTAGAAAATTCAACAGATATTTAGCAAGTCCACTATCAACGCCTAGACTATGTTTACCACACAATACGGCGCGCCAGATACTTTTACGGAAGTGTTTTAATGCCTAAATTATTCGTACGTTATATCCGATATTAGTGTAACTCTACTAGCGTTCTATCAGGAATGCTGTTCTCTGATTGGCTACGCTACTCAATGTCTATTCGGTGATAGATAGTAAGTAGCGTAACGGTGTGCGCTTGTTAACAAAATGATGGCCACTTCTTTGCGTTTTTGAGGTATCTGTGAGGGGGATTTATAGAAAGTTCTGAACGTCTAGTAGATAATTTATACTAAAACAATTAGATTATTCGCTCCCGATTTCTATGCGTGATAGTTGACTCGGGCTGCGCCCTCGTCAGCTATCACGCGATAGAAATCTCGAGCTCATAATCCAATTGCTTATTGATCCTTATTAGCAACACGGACATAAAGCATTTTATGACTGGCCCTAAGGGAAACAGTGAGTTTTGTTCCCCCTCGACCTCAGTGACTCGCCTTGGGGAACACTGAGGGTCTCGGGGAAACAAAACTCAGTGTTTCCCTTCGGCGCCAGTCATTAAGTGCTTAATCATGCAAAAACTTTCCACGCTGCAATTTCCTTCATTTCAAAGGTACCGAGATGTTACCAGCTTGCATATTACCAGCATTTTGTATGGCATACAGGCCATATTAGATATACATGTAGCTAGCCGGCGAATAAGTCCGGTTTTGATTTTGAGATTAACCTCCTTCAAGACCTTCAAAGTTGCTCTTTGGGCTCGTCACGTATTGCGCGAAAATCACTCTTCTCATCACGCAACCTTTGAAGTTTCCTGGGCATGATGAAGAGAAACGTGAACTCCCATACTGAACAGGTCGTTGGCAGACCCAAAAACTAAGGTAACGGTGGATGTTGGAAATGTGAGAACTATGCTCTCTGTGGGTGAAACAGCCCAGGTCCCAGCTGAGATGAATGTTATGGCATTGATGTATTATCTAAACATTTCAAGGAGATGGTGCTACTCACATAGTAGTTATCGTTAATCTGCATCATTGGGGCATTAACACAAGCTCCAAGACACTCCACTGATGTCAGAGTAAACATGCCGTCTTTAGTCGTTTCACCCATCTTGATTCCTAAAGCAATGAATGCAGAGCATTTTGAGTTAGCCTTTAAGTGTCACAACAAAAAATAAGTGCAAGGTTTTGGTACCAATACTTCTCACAGTGGTGCTTAACACGGGGTTTCTACAAATAAAGTGATTACAAGAATTGTAATCCCCCCTGAATTGGATGTTAGTCCATTNTGCACTACCTGTTTGTCTGCACCCATTCAATATTTTGGACAAAGATCCACTACATGTAAGTCAGTATTATTTCCACAGTGAACCCGGACTGGTCAAAAGTCCAGCACATTATTGGACCACTATGTCCACAGTCTGCATTGTGAGAGATGTATAGGGCTACTTGTCGGTGTATCACTTTATGATATACTACAAGTGTGTTAATTATACCTAATTGTAGCTATTTGGTACACTTGGGGAAATCCACAAGCAAGTTTGGCAGAACCATGGTTCAGATTTTGGCTCCAACATGCCTTGCCAAAAATACCCATTAATACCCATGGCATACAGTAGCATACTCATGTTGACATCAGGACTTAAACTTAAATGTAATGTTGCTAGACAGCAAAAGTAAGCAGGGCTACTGATCGGACTGTTGTAAATTTGGTAATGGTAATATGGCAATCATGGTTATAATAGGACCTTTCACACTCTTAGCTGTCCAATGCAATGCCCAACTACATGTATACCTTTTAAACAATCAATCTGACTCTTCTGTATAGCTTGCTTATATTCTGCATGTAGCTTATCTACGTTCTGCCATCGTTTTACGCGTTTATTGTTCATGTATATGTATCTTTTTCCTTTTGTACTTTTTTGATATCAATATAATTGATATGTCGTGTCCATTGTTTGTACGTGTCAGTGACCAACACGAAAGCCTATGCTACTTTGGTCACTGAGCACATTTCATTTTGGCTATTTACTGTTATATTTCTTTTCTCTTTTTAATTAATGTWATTTCTGTAAATACTGTTAAAGTTATAATTTTTGTAAATAGTGCAAAACAATAAAAATATAACAATCTAATCTAATGCTGTCAAATATGTTCAAGGTTTATTCAGTACTGTGCAAATTTATTGCTGACAGCAATGTACTTAGCATACCTAATTTCTTGGAAATAACATCCACAACCATGTCAGAATCTCTCAGTTGACAGGGTGTTGTTGTGCACACCTGGATGTGGTATTTTCCAACAGGCTCCCTGAAAGGCAGAATAATTGTATTGCTTTAACCATACACTTACTTGCCAAGCAATATCATTTTCCTCAACTTATGGAAGAAAAAGCATCCTAAATCACAATTTCTAAACCAGCTAAACAACACCCCTCCCTCAACCACTGTTGTTCAACAATAATGAAAGTCCAAATATTGAGATTTATAACTGAATGTATCAGTCAGTTGAAAAGCAACAGAATAGGACAAAGGAGTATGTACACAGACAAACAAACCTGTTAAACATGGTGTAAAATGTTACCACTTCATACACTCTCATTCTTGGCATCTCCAACAAATCAGCAACATAGTTCATTGCTGATATTGGTACCCAACCTGAAAGATAAATCATACAAAATTCAAGGTGCTACTAGCAGTAATGTGTTATGGTACAGTGTTGACACAGAGATACATGAAGTGGAGAGCTGCTATTAATATGTATTCAGCTGGTAAGAAACCAAGTTTTTAATATTAGTAGTTTGTCACTAGTATTGAGAACTTAAGGTATCAGTAAGGGGAAAATTTGCCATTTTGCATAATTTTACTTTTTTAAGCGGTTGGATAAATCTTCAAGTAATCTTTAAGATAAAAAAAGCTCCACAAAAAAATCTTATATCTGCCGGTGGTTATTGCGCGAGAAAGATTGTTTTGCATATTAATTACTTAATTGAGAGTTGACAAGTTCTGTCAAATGAATTAATTATCGAGGCAAGAAGCCACATGC